CGGGTACCCGATATATGTAGAAAATATTTTATATATATATCGGGTACCCGATAAGTGTAAAAAAATATTTTCTACACATATCGGGTACCCGATATATGTCCGATATTAGGGAAACACCATGCACATATCAGGTACCCGATATGTGTATGTTTTATCAATTTTCAACCAGTGAAGCTTTGAATGGACTTATTGCTCAACATAATAATAATACACCTGCCTCTGTTCCTACATTACCTATAACCATTTCACTTTTCTAATGCCATCCACATGAAAATGTTAATTCATGGTTCATTTCCCTTGAAAATATTTTCACTACTCAAGCTATTGTAGAAGATGTAACTAGAATTTGATATACCGCTACAGGAATGAAAGATGCTGCTGCATCTTGGTAGATGAATAAACTGATAGCTGAACCTGACATCACTCAAATTTGGAATGATTGAGATGCATTCAAAATTAGTGTAAAAAATTCATTTCAATCTGAAAATTATCAAATATATCTAAGAGATCAATTAAAGAGACTTAGATAAAATAGTTCTGTACGTGACTATTCCATGTAATTTAGAAATTTGGTGGGACAAATAGATGGAATACATGATCTTGACCAAGTTAGTTATTTTATTGATGAATTAAAATCTAATATAAAGATGGAAATCAAATATCGAAATCCTGATAGTTTAAATAATGCAATTGATATTGCTACTCGGTACGACTCAGCATTATGGGAAATAAATAAAGGGAATAGTTTCAATTCATCTAGACATAATAAGAGATCTAATAATTTTAACAATAATAATAATTATAATAATTCTAGTAGAAATTGATATAAAAATAATAGTGGGCCGGAACCAATGAATTTAAATTCTATAAAAACTAGCTATCAAAAGAATAAACATAGCAATAACCATAACAATAGTAATAGGAATAATAATTACTATAATAATAATAATAACAACAATAATAGTAATAAGTTTAATAACAACAATAATAATAGTAATAATTAACGATCAAAGATGCAATGTTATAATTGTAAAGAATATGGTCATTATTCTAAGAATTGTTCTCGAAGAAAAACCCAACTAAGAAATCTTGAAGAAGAAAACCTTGATAACAATAGCTTGGAAATAAACCGAACTGAAGGAAATCAAGAACGATTACTTCAATTTAATGAAAATGTCAATGGTAAAAAGACATGGATTTTACTTGATAATGGTGTCTCAAGAAACTTTGTTAATAAAGATTTTATACAAAGAAATCACTTCCCTACTAAAACTAACAAAACTCTAACTATCGAATTAGCAGATGAGAGAAAACAAGAAACCAATCAAGAAGCACTTCTTAATAATCCTGAGATTGGAGATTATAGAGCTAAATGTATTAAAGCTCAAGTGATTGATCTTAATTGTTATAATGTTATTTTGGAAAAACAATGGTTTTTTAATACTAACCCTAATATAGATTGGAGAAACAATATTTTAACTTTTTCTTTTGGAAGAAATCGAATAACTGTACAAGCTGATGAAAGAAAAATGAGGGAACTTGAATGTAATTTTTATTTATTATAAGGTAACAATTTGCGAGAATACCTTCAAATGAAAAATTGTTTAGTTTATATCTAACTGAAGAAGAAACCTCTAATGAAAAATAACTGATATATCCTCCTGAAGTTAAGAAACTTTTGAAAGAATTTAATAACACTTTTTCTACTACTTTGCCTAATGAACTACCTCCAGAAAGAAGATTAAATCACGTAATTGATCTTATACTTGGCATGGAACCTCCATCTCAACCTGTCTATCGACTATCTCATTATGAAATGAAAGAATTAAAAGTTCAACTCTCAAACCTTTTGGAAAAAAGATTTATTCAACCTTCTGTATCTCCTTTTAGTGCCCCTGTCCTATTTGTTCATAAAAAGAAAAGAACCTTGAGACTTTGTATTGATTATCAAGCTCTTAACAAGATGACCATCAAAAATTGCTACCCACTACCTTGAATTGAAAACTTACTGGACCAACTTGTTGATGCTAAATACTTTTCCAAATTGGATTTATACTCAGGATATCACCAAATCTGAATCAAAAAAGAAGATATCCATAAAACTGCCTTCCGAACTTGATATGGTCATTATGAATTTTTAGTCTTACCCTTTGGATTAACCAATGCTCCTGCAACCTTCATGACTCTAATGAATGATATTTTTCATGAATATCTTGATGAATTTGTGGTTGTATATTTGGATGATATTCTAATATACAGTAAAACAAAAGAAGACCATTTGAAACATTTGCGCAAAGTATTATCAAAACTTAGAGAACATAAATTATATGCCAAATTAAAAAAGTGTGAATTATTCAAAAACAAAGTTGAATATCTTGGATATTATATATCTGGTGAATGAATTGCCGTTGATGAAAGGAAAGTAGAAGTAATTAAAAAATGGCATAATCTTACCACTTAACAGAACTTAGATCATTTTTGGAACTAACTTCATATTACAGGAAATTTGTAAAAAATTTCTCTGCCATTGCCTCCTCTCTAACTACCTTATTACGAAAGGACATATCATATGAATGGAAACCAGATCAACAGGAAGCTTTTGACAAATTAAAAGAGAAGTTAACCTTCGTACCTGTTTTACTTATTCCAGATCAAACCAAACCTTTTATTGTGACCACTGATACCTCTAACACTGCTATTGGAGCTGTGCTGAGCCAAGACTATAGTAAAGATGACCAACCTATTGTGTTTGAATTTAGAAAATTAAACTCTGCTAAATTAAACTATGCAACCCATGAAAAGGAACTACTGGCAATAGTTCATACCATTAAACTTTGGTGTCCCTATCTTGAAGAAAAACTATTTACAATTATTACAGATCACACAGCTTTAAAATTTATTAAATCACAATTAAACTCTTCAGAAGACAAGCTAGGTAACTTGAAGTCTTACAATTATTCAATTTTGATGTTAAATATTGACTGGGAAAAACAAATGTAGTAGCTGATGCATTATCTCAAGTTCCTCAACTCTCAAATATTAATACCCTTAATATCAACCTGGTTAACAAAGAATTATTGATTAATGAATACAAGAATAATTCTTACTTTGAACCAATTTATCAAGCATTAACTTCCAAAGAAAATAAACCCCAAGCACATAACTTTGAACTTCATGATGAATTAATTTATCTCAAAAGTGAAAAACGACTTGTAATCCTTAACAATAAGGAATTACAAATACTTTTGTTACATGAATGTCATGATTCAATTATTGCCGGACATTTGGATACTGAGAAAACTTTGGAGTTAGTTCAACAAAATTATTTTTGACCAAGAATAGAAAAAGATATAAAGAAATATGTCACTAGTTGTACTCTTGTCAAAGAAACAAAGTGAATAATACAAGAGTTAAACAATTGTATAGTTATGAACAGACATTATGCAATAGTTATAGGAGATTTTAATGCTACATTCAATCTTAAAATTGACAGATTTAATATTAACATTAATGCAAGAGATAGATCAGATGAGCCTGAAACAAAATTCTGAGATTCCTAGACAATAACAGATTCAAATATACATTTAGAACATACAGTATAAAGATGCTATAGAAAATAAAAATGTACAAAACAAAATAACATTAAATTTCTCTTGGAGAAGCAGCATCCAGGACATAAAAAGTAGAATAGATCAAATATGGATATAAGATAATCTAGCAGACCAACTCTTTTGTGCTGACATTATATCCACAGATTTGAAAAGTCATAGTGATCATGTATATGCAATGACTAAAATAGAAAAAACATATTTAAAAATACTAGATCAATAATAAATCCATATGAAATTCCAAATAGAATGGAATTTAACTTTAAGGAAACATTTGTGAAAAAATAGGAAAAATTTAGGTTACAGATTGAATTTATTATAGCAGAAAACACCACCACAGGAAATGACAACATAGAAGAAAAATGGAGCTTTTTCAGAAATGTTATAATTCAAAAAGCAAATGAAATAATTTCAAAAAAGAAAAATACCTTTGGAACTTCCTATAAAGCAAGCTTTAAAAAAATAAATATAATTAGACATAGACAAAGCTGAAAACTGCAAAAAAGATTTCAAAAAATTCTAGATGATGAGAAGACACAAAAAATTGATTGGATTACTACATTTAAAACATTACACCAAGAAAAATAACAAATGATAACACAAGCAAAAAAGACCACATTAAAAGAAGTTTTGCAATGAAACTCTTTAATGGAGAACTGCTAGTAATGCTCAAAAGATTCAAGCATCATCTTCACATATATAATAATCCAAAATGTATACTATGTAGAAGATATGAGGAAACTAACATACATGTGTATGAGTGCAAAAGAAACAACAATGGAGATAGTGAATATATCCCAATGACAAAGCATTACAAACAACTAATAGATTGCCTAACCACAAAAATTCAAAGACAAACAGATGTGATAGATGAAGACAAAATACAAACAGAACTCAGATCCCTAAGTGAGTTATAGAATTGGTGGGAATACAGATGAAATGAGTTTACCTAGAATTACATTATATGAATTAATTAAGGAATACATATCATACTCATTAGTATTTAAAGTTATATCAATGTTAAAACTAGGGAAAGGATTAGGGAAACAATTATTGAAGGGATGGTCAGCTTCAAAGAATACTTAAAAGACCACTGGAAGGAATGATGTGAAAAAGTAGCATTATAGGAAACTGAAAATAATATTACAAATAGATTGAAAAGACAAAAAAAGGAAAAAGTAGTTTAAAAAAAGAGGGAAAAATGTTAGAATACAATGACAATTCAGATTTAGTAGAATCTAAGGGAGGGAAATACAATAAATTAGAATAAATAAAAAAAAAACATGATGTATAAATTTAGAGTACAGATTAACTTAGGATGCAAATATAATGATAATTATAGTTATAGATATAATAATTACATTTGATGGGGTTTTGGCCATCAGTTCCTGAGATTACTATGAGTCAAACCATAAAATCTTTATTTTTAGTCAATTTCAATAAATGTATAATAAATTATCTGTATCTTTAAAAATTTACATCTAATATATTAATAAAAGTTTATTGGAGCAAGGCTCTGTTGGATTAATAAAATAATTTTAAATTCATATATACATTTTCTTGAATTCTGATTGGCTAAAATCGCATCACATGGTGCTTACATAAACCAAGAAACTTGGGAGAATTTTTTTTCCGTAAATGGATTACTCTAAATGTATACATTCTAATTCTATAATATAAATTAAATCTGACTATTGGATCAAATTTTATTTAAGATTTTTCAAGTTTCTATTTTAGAGGTTCTGCACTGTAATAAATAATAATAAATAAATAAAATAAATAATAAACTATAATAAATAAATAATATTAAAGTTATAATTAATTATTCTCTTCATCATTGCTATGTGACAGTCCTTTCTCTTTCTCTTGCTTGTAAAAGTTCAGCTAAATCTAAAAATAATCCATATAAATAGTAAATGATATAAACAATAAATTGTATTAATAATTAATCATAAATAAATATTCGATAATATTTAAATTCAATTTACCTGAATGTGTAAAATCATATTTTTGAGTTAAATATTTTTTATCCATTTCATCTAAATCATCTGAATCATCTATTTCATCTAAATCCTCTGTTTTATCTTCTAAATCCTCAAATTCTAAATCCCCCAAAAAATATTTTTACAATAAAATCATTAAATAAAAATTAGAATGAAACAAATATTGAAATTACCTTCAAATTCTTTATTAAAAATATTGTGATTACCTTCATATTTCAATTTTTTACATTCTTCCTGAGTTTGTAATTTTAAAAATGTTTTAGACATTTTAGGCTCTTCAATCATTATTTTTGGACTCAAATCTGCCTTTGTATTTTGAGGTAAACCACCACCACCACTAACACTATATTTATTATAATTTTGGAAAGTGGATCCTTTTTTTTCTTTTTTTCCAAGTGCTGGTGCTGAATAACTATTTTTTTTTTGTTTTAGTGGGGGTGGTAGAGCTGAAGCTGGATAAGAAGAACTACTACTTTGTGATGGTGCTGGATACTTATAACTACTTTGTTTTGGTGGTGGAGCTGGATGCGCAGAACTACTTTGCTTTAGTAGTGGTGGTGGAGCTGGATAAAAAGGACTACTACTTTGTGGTGGTGGAGCTGGATAAGAAGAACCAAAAATTTGTGGTGGTGGTGGAGCTGGATAATCAAAAATACTTTGTTTTAGTGGTCCAGAATTACTTTCTTTTTGCGGTATTTTTGGAGCTGAATAACCAAAACCGCCTGGAGCTGAAATATTCGGACTAGCATCAATACTATTATTATTATTATTATTATTATTATTATTATTATTATTATTATTATTATTATTATTATTATTATTATTACTAGTAATAGTAGTAGTAGCAATGCCACCATCAGTATAATTTTCAAAATCTAAAGAATATTGTTGAGTTACTGTATTTAATTGAATATAATTGAAATAATTATTTAAAAATAATTATAAATAATTGAAATATGAAATAAGAATGATAAGAATTGTAATAATTGTAATTGAAAATACTATTACCTTGATTAGCAATATTAGTGTTAGTATTAGTAATATCATCAGTAATAGTGTCAAGTGATAACTCATATTGTTTAGTCGCATATAACTTTGAATCAAAATTTATTCGTTGAGATAAATATAAAGAATCTTATTTTATGATCGAATATAATTGAAATAATTATTTTAGTAATAATTACTTAAAATTGAAATAATTATAATTGAAAATTAAAAATATTAATTAATTACCATTATTAATGTTATTATTATTATTATTATTGTTGTCATTATCATTATTATTGTATTTATCGTTATCGTTATTAGCAGAAATGTCAGTAAAAACAATGAATTCTATAGGTTTAATTAAAATTAATTGAAATTAATTGAGTTTAATTAAATTTAAAGTTTAAGCTAATTAAACTTTCTAATATATATGTATAAAATTTAAAATAATATGTTTACCATTATTTACTGGACCTTTTAAAGTATTTAACATCATTTCAAAAATTTCTGGTAAAATTGTCGAATCAGGTCTTTTATTCGGATCAGCATTCCAACAATTTATCATTAATTCAATATATCCATTTGGTATGTTAACGTCATCATCATCATTACTACCAGATTTCTTAAAATTACTTATATCCGGTCTTTTTCCATCTAAAATATCTAACGTTAATGTGGTCCCATGATCTATATTTTTGTAAGGAGGTTCCCCACTAATTAATTCCCACATAATCATACTTAAACTATAAATTTCTGATTTCTTTGTGTACGAATTACCCCTAAAAACTTCGGGGGCTATGTAAGGTAATACTCCTACTATTTGATGTTCTATTTAATAATAATTAAATGTAAATATTTAAAGTATAAAGTTGAATTATTAAAATGTTAAATAATATTATTAAAAAATAAATTACCATTTTTTGATTCTTCTTCAAAACAAGATAAACCAAAATCGCCAATATAAATTTTAAAATTTTCATCTACAAATATATTTTTACAATGAAAATCTTGATGTAACACATCCATTTCATGTAGAGATTTTAATAATTTGGAAATTTCCAAAAGTAAAGTAATTTTAACTTTCCAATCAAATTTAATATTTAATTTTTTTTTGTTTTTATTTTTACTATTAACCATTTGAAGAAAATTTCTCAAATCTCCATATTTCGCTTTTTTCATTACCATCGCATAATCTAATCCATTATTACTAGGTTCTTTAGTAAGACCATAAAATGGAATTGCGCAAGTAGTATGACATAAATGATGGATTTTGAACTGTTAATATAATTATTAATTAATAGAGAGTGAATTAGAATTAAAATTATAATATAAATTAATATAAAAAAGAAAGTATAAATTACTTCTTTAAGATGTTCTTCTCCAAAATTTCGAGAATCTCTTAAAACTTTAAGTATTACGTTTGGATTATTATTATTATTATTATCATCATTATCTTCGTCATTATCATTATCATTATTATTCAATTCAGCAGAATAAATTTGAGAAAATCCTCCTTTACAAATAGGTCTAATATTCTTAAAAGTGTTTTTATTATTGTTATTATCATTTATCCATTCTATAAAATCGTCACAATATTTTGAATTAATTTTCGTGGAATTAATGAATTCATCTATTTTTGGATTTCCACTATTAATGACCGCCAAATTATTATTCTTTTCTGCAGAATTATTATTATTATTATTATCTGCAGAGTTTTTATTATTAATATTATCTTCAGAGTTATTATTATTATTATTGTTATTATTATTATTATTATTATCTACTGATAAAAGTTTGGAATCAGAATTACTTTGAAAATTAAATAATGTAGTAGGAATTATGCGTTCAAAAAAATCCGAAAATGAGTTTTTTTTACGTATTTTTCGTTGGTTTGGTTTCTCTGTTTGTAAATGCGATTGCGATTGTGATTGTGATTGCTGCTGCTGCTGTTGTTGTTGTTCTACTCTTTTCTTATTTATTGTTAGTTGAGCTCGACAGAATTTGTCGGGTTGTCCACTACATGGTTTGTTACAATATTGACAGATAGGTGATGATGATGATGATAACAGTACTTTAGTAGTAGTTGTAGTAAAAGAAGAATTTATCATCATTATTATTGTTTTTTTTAATAATCTCGTTTTATTTTTTAATAATCTTTATTTTTATTTTTTTCATTTCGTAAAAAAAAAGAATAAAATTTGATTATATAAACAAAGTGGAAGTTACACCAAATGTATAGAATAGTAAATTTGCGTAGCGTGCGTAGTAAGATATAAATAAAGCCATTGTTAGAATAACAAAATAATAAATATTATTAGATTGGTGCACGTTGATGTAAATATTGATGCCGAGTTTAATTTTATTTTTATTTGGTAGTCGAATTTTAAAATTATTAAAATTATTTCGGTAATGTATTGTATAAGACTGTCCCGTGACAAAACAGGTGGAGAGTACAAGATCTTATTCATAATTTAAAGAGTTGACATTTTTAGATCTTGATAAAAAAATTTTTTTGTCGATTATCATTCTTAAAGAAAAAATTTTTATATCTAAAAAAAGAGAGGAAATTAATAAGAATAATAAATAATTCTTAAATAATTATATAAAAAAAAATAAGAAAAAAATGGCAATGTTAACTCCTCGTTCGCAATTTATTTCTAAATTGAATAATTATAATAATTTTATTAATAAAATTTTAAAAAGTCCAAATATTAAAATTATTAATAATCAAAAATCCACTTTTATCACCACCACTTCTATTAATAATTCTTTACTTTTTCGTTCAAATCATAACAATACTTATAAAAATAATATATTTAAACCCATCACGTTATCTACTTTTAACCGGGGTTTAGCCACCGAATCTTCTTCCGGTGCCGACGCTGCTTCGGCTGTTCCAGGAAAGTTACCAGTAGTTATACCTAAATTAAATAGAGCGGAAAGAGATACATTAGTAGAAAAAATGAAATCTTATTATAAAGAAAATTATATTGATAGTATTAACAAAGAATTATTGAAAGGTAATATAATATGATTGACGTATATAATATATAAATAAAATATAAATATCAATACTATTAATACATATAATTAATCTATAATTAACAAAAACTCCCTGACCGATTGTAATTATTATAGTAATTCCTAATTGGTTAGATGGAATGGGATTAAAAGGTTTAGCTCATTGTTTTAAAGGTGTTAATTCGCAAGACATTTTAAAGTTTACCGATTGGAAACAATTAAGAGATTTAGGAATAAAAAATCCTGCCCATAGAAAAAGACTTATGAGAAATATTTGGAAAGCGAAACGTTCTCTTGTATGTATTATATTTATATTTTAGGTGTTAATTTATAATAATTTTATATACATAATATGTAAATTACATATTATACATTACATATTATACATTTTATAAATACATTTATATTCTATATATCCTTCATTACATATTATATATTGTACATTTTATACTCTTTATATCATATATTATATATTCATATATTTCATATTACATATATTCAATCAATAATGAAATAAATTTAATACATTTAATATATTTAGGCTTCAGAACAAGGAATAACATTATCGGAAGATAAAGAAAGTAGTGGAAACGATAATGATGAACAAAATGATAATTTGACTCCAGAAGAAAGAGTTGATTTTAAAGCAATTGAAGGTAATGATAATAATGATAATAATAATAATAATAATAATAATAATAATAATAATAATAACCTGATAATATTTATAATATAAGACCTTCCAACTTGGTTAAACGGAATGAGAGATGGATACGGATATTTCGCTCCACATTTTGAAGGTAGAAATTGGCGAGAAATTATGCATATGACATGGGAAGATTTAGAAGTTTTAGGTATTAGAGCAAGAACTTCGAGGGCAAGAATTATAGCACATTGTTGGGTAACTAAACGTGCTTTGGTGAGTTTAATTTTTATTATTTCTATATTTTATTATTAGATATTGATTAATAAATTATTGTTGTTATTTGTTGTTGTGTTATTGGTAGGCGGCTAAAAATGGAGAACCTATTCCTGAAGAAAAAGAAAGAATAGATAGATCACGGGAAGTACAAAGAAGATTGTTATATGGTACTCCGAGAAAATCTGGCAAACAAGGCAGTTCTCCTGCTATATAGATAAACTAATAATGAATGATAATTTATTATTATTTATATTTTTTTTATTCCTTTTGAGATTGATTATTTTTTCTTTCTTTTGAGATTGATTATTTGCTACTGTTTTTCCTTTTTCTTTGTTTATCTTTAATGTATATGAATGTATACGGAAATTGAATTTGAAAATTTTTTTAAAAAAAAATAAAATGATCTATATTAAACTTAAAATTGTTAATTAATATGAAATAAAAAAAAATAAAAAAAATAAATAAATATTTTTTATATTTTTTTGTAAATTATTATTTATAAAATTATTATTACATTCCAATCAAATAATAATAATAAAAAGAATAATAATAATAATAAATAAATAAATAAATAAATAAATAAATAAATAATCGCTCAAAATAAATAGAATTAACCCCTATTCTATCTTCAAATTATTATTATTATTATCATATTATTATTAACGGTACAAAAAACATTTTAATTTCTCTCTTATCTCACACACGCACCTCTCACTATTTTTGATTTTGAACATAACGAATTATAAATATTTTAATATTTCTAATAAAGAAGAATTTTAATCATAATCATTATTTCTAATAAGAATAAGAACGAGAGGAAGAAGAAGGATGTGGAAGTGATTTAATATAACTTTGTCGTTTTACTCTAGGTGGTATATTTACTCCTTTTTCAGCAGCCTAGAATATAATAATAATGATAATAAATATTTATTAATAATAAATATATAATAAATAAATAATGCTAAAATTATAAAGAATTATAAAGAATTATAAAGTCGAATACTTACCACAGCTCTCTTTACCAACCAAAAATTTCTTACCAACATTGATCGTAAATTTCGATTTCTAATTCCCATCATTTCTAAATCATTATGATTCATTTCAATAATATCTTCCCATTTTCTATTTTGGAAAAATGGAGCTAGAGATTTTAAGCCCATACTTTCTAACCAGGCCGGCGTGTCTATAAATTATATTTATTTTATATGTTAATATAATTATGATTAATTATAAATGTAATATGATTGTGATTACTATAATAATTAATTCATACTTTCTAATAAATCGTAATCAGGAGGAGAAAGTCGATCATGTTCTTCAGAAATTCTTCTTCTGTCAGCCTATAATTTAAATATTAAATGTAAATATGAATAATATAATATAATTAAAAATAAATATTAAATGTAAATATAATAAATATAATAATTAAATATTATTAAAAAATATTTAACAATAATTTACCATAGCAGCTCTTATATTTTGAAAATGTCTACGTAAAACATGTCTATCTTCGTAATTATCTATACCTAAAGCTTCTAAATCTTCATACATCATTTCAACAATTTCTTGATATTGCCTTCCTTCAAAATTTGAAGCGTAATGTGCCATTCCAATTGAATCTAACCAGGCTGAAAAATCTATAATCGTATATAAATTATAGATATTAATATTAATTAATATTAATTAATTGATTAATAAATTAATAATAATAAAAGTTTATTTTACCTTTCAATAATTTAAAATTAATTGGAGTTCCTTCTTTATTCTATTTTTTTTTTTTTTTTTTTTTTTTTAGTTACAATTAAATTAAGTGACCAGACCACAATTGAATTAATCATCAATTAAATTGATTAAATTAATTAATCGATCAATCGATCAATTTTTCAATTAAATAATCAAATAAATAATTTTAAACTTACAATGTGAGATTTAATATAATTAAAATATCTTCTTAATGTATGCCTATCATATTTATCATCTATATTTAAATTTTCCATTTCTTCATATCTCATATCTATTAAAGATCTCCAATTTCTACCTTCAAAATTTCTCGCATATTTTTTTAATCCAATTCCATCTAACCATTTGGGAAAATCTATTAAATATTATTATATTATATGTTATATATTTCAATTTTATATTATTTTAATATGATATGATATGATTATGATATTACCTTCCAATAGGTCGTAATTAACATCTTCAATATAATTCTTTTGTATATAATCAGCTCGTTCTTGAGGTGAATTAAAAGTAAGACTAGATTGAAAATCTTCGGAATTTCTTTTACGTGCATCTGTTTTAAAGAAACGACAAGAGAATTTATTACTTGAATTAATTGTTTTAATTGTGTTAATTGTGTTAATTGTGGTTGATGTTGTTGTGGATTTTAATAATGATGATAATAATAAATAATTATTAGATTTAAAATTGGAAGAAGAATAATGAAATTTTGATATAGAAAATAATAATGATGATGATTTCTTGGGAATTAAAAATTGTGAAATTCTATTATTATTCATTATTCTTCGAATAGGTATAGTAAAAGTAGGAATAGTAGTAATTAATCGAAATAATTTCATTTTTTTATTGTTTCGTTGGTTGGTGGTATTTACACTATTTTAAAAAATAAAAGAAAATATTATGTTAATGTAATTAATGATAGTAATTATAGATAAGATATCATAATAGAAATTCTTTACGAAGACGAAACGAAAACATACTTACACTGCACACTGAAAAAAAAAATATAATAATTTTATCAACAAAGATTTTGATAAAAAAAATTTATTGTCACATGAAATTAAAACAAACGTGCATATTGGTGCATATTGGTGCATATTGGTGCATACATCTAAAAAACTTTATTTTTTATTATTTATACAATATATAATAAATTTACATTATTATTATAATAACAGGTTATTAATTATTTTAATCATTTTATGTATTATGTATTATGCATTTTTACTATGTTATAATGGTATAGATTTTAGGGTTAATGTTTTTCCTATTTTGTTTGAATCATGTTGGCATCATGTGTGGAAATTCGCAATGTGATGGTGAATCTCGTGAAGTTCCAGAAAAAAGATAATCACTTGCCCATGATATTCGTTTTTGGCAAGATTTTCTTGTACAGAAAAGGAAGAAAAATCCTTGTTTTTACCATTAAGAGTAACCACTACCCACCCTCCAGGAATCTATGTTCTTTATATAAAAATAAAAAATAAATTATTCTTTGAATTATTTATTTTTTTAATCAAATATGATAAAGTGATAAAATATAAAAGTAAATGGAGTATCATTATTTATTATATATAAAAAAATAAAAAATTTTTGCTACACTATATTTTCACTATATTTAAATATTTTATTAATATATTTATAATTTATTATTTATTATGATTTAACCTAATGTGATAAATTATTATTTTTTTTTTTTTAACTAAATATGGTGAAGTGATAAAATATAAAAGTAAATGAAATGTCATTATTTATAAATTCCACTAAAAATTTTTACTACACTACATATATTTTCACTATATTTAGATATTTTATTATTATTATTTATAATTTATTATTTATTATAGTTTAATCAAATGTGATAAAGTAATTAAATATAAAGGTTAAATGTTATTATTTATAAATTTCACTGATAAAAAATAAAGATATTTTTGCTGGATTTAGGTATTTTAAAATATTATTATTTATTATTATTATTATAATTTAACCAAGACATGATAAAGTAATTAAATGTAAAATTAGATGGAATGTTTTTACTTAGATATATTATTATAATTATTCATTATTATTAAATTATTATAGTTTAATCAAATATGATAAAATGATAAAAATATAAAGATAAATATTGTTTGACAATATGAAAAAAGATTTGAATAATAAAATAAAAAAAAAATAAGTTTTCACATAGGATTTCAAATTCCTTTCCTTTTTCTTTTCTTTTGAAATTAAATTTTTTTCTGGGAAAATAGTAAAGAAATAGAATTCTGAATTTTTTCCTTTGATAATAAAAAAACTTCTTAAATTAAGATGCCTACAAAATTGATGACCATCTGTTATATTCATGATTTCACTGATCGCATAGTATCTAATTTTACAATTAAAGAAATCACTGATATTGTTAGACTAGATAATAATGATTTCTAAAAAATTATATATTTGAGAATTAAAGCTTTTGTTTCACTGGATCCAACTATAAAAACACAAATTGAGAAGTTTGAAAAAGAACAAGTGATCCTTTTAACTGGAAAATTTGTAACCAACAATGGATAGTACACAGTAAGTACTTTAAACAGATCTTAATTAATGAAATTAAGAAATGAAAAAAAAAGAGAATACTAATTAATTGATATATTTTTATTTTAAGGTGAGTGCCACTTCCATTCAAGTTTTATTAAGTTTAGAATTTGATACCATGCCAGCTATAGGCCTTCAAGTAATATTAACTGGAATAATCACATAAACAATTCAGAACTTTGAGGGGAAGGCAGTGATGAATTTTTTTATTGAAGAGTATCTTGGAGATGGGGAGTCTAAGGATTTTTGAATCGAGATGAAGCATGAAATCACAATCAATATCTTACAAATAAAACCAATACATAAATTTGAGTGGCAGGTTAACAATGGCTACCTTAGTAAGTTCTATGAAATACAAACTTTCAGTTATTGACCCACAACTTTCCAAGCAACTAAATCAGAAAAACAAATTTTAGAGCTAGTTGACATGTCTATATTTTTAACCAACTGTTCAGAAGAAAATAGGAGATCCTTGAATGTTCCCTGGTCAAATAACTTTAGAAGAACTAATAGATCAACTCGTGATGCCACATCAAGAACTTTAACAAGAAGGAGCTATACAACATTAGCTCAAATAGGTTCAACTGTGAAGGCAGCATTGGATGCAAATTCAATTCCTAACATAAATACTAATCAACAAATCTCACCAAATCAATCTTCACCAGATTAACCTTCATCATCAATTCAACAAGATAATGATAATAATTAAAAAAAAGATTCTTTTATTTTTAATTACATACTTTTTAAACTGTTACTTATAATGATACAGATTAATTAAAGAAAAAAAAATGATTTATTTTTATTTTATAATTTAAAAAAATGTTATTTAAATTTATACAATTTCAATTTTACACTTACAAAAATATTATTTATATAATAAATTAATTGACTGATTATTTTAATTTATAATTATATTTTTTACAAAATTAATTTAAATTTTCATACAATTAACAATCTACTTTAAATGAATAATACATTTATATTATTTTTTTTTTTTGTATTTAGATAATAAATTTGATTAATTGATAGTTTTAAAATTAATTTAAACTTTTATACAATTAATAATTTGATTTAAATGATTTAAATGATTTAAATGGATAATTCATTTATATATATTTTTATATTTTTTATTTATCTACAAGTTTAAATATAAAAATAGAAATAAAAATAATATTAAGTGTTATACTATATTTGAATAAATTAAATATGTTATAAAATAAATATAAATAGAGTCAAAAAAAAAAAGGTAAAATTTTATAAAACAATAAATAATATTTTTATATTATTCTTTTTACAAAAATACAAAAAAAAATATTCAGAATGAATTATCAACTTTACAATATATACATATTTGACAATGAACATGAAATCACATTAGATTGAACTGATAATTCCAATTCTATAGTAATTACTAATAATCCTCATAACCAAATATAATCAATTGCAAATTAAACAAATTTATCACAAAGACTATATGATAAATTTTAAAACAATATTTTAAAACAATAGCCTCAAGTTACATGTATTTATTGTGAAAAATTAGTATATCTTAGAAGGCATATTGGATAATTTATAATTTATCTGTAATATATCCCTTACAACAAAATATTCTAGATGTAATTCTGTCCTTCCACCTACACACAAATCATATTTCTGAAAATAGGATTCCCACATATGATTCTTGTAAAAATCCTTCTACGAGATTTTTATTTCTCTACTTATCTCCAATACCAGAAGAAATAGTTTCGGTTCCCTTATATTTAAGAAAATGCTTATCTCCCATCTTCTTACATTGTTCTTTAGGAGAACATCAAATAGTATTACCTATTCTGAATATAGGAGCTTAGTTGAAACAATGAATTATTTACATAATATAAGAACACATACATTATATTCTGGAACTGTTAGGACTTTTCTAGAACTAATAACAACATACAATAATAGCAATAATGCTAATATTTCTAATGAATTTAATAATGAAACTCTACGAAAGGCTGCCACTTGGTTAACCAGAAATAATATATATCTTCGACCGTATACAAATATTTTATCATCATGTCATTATTCAAATTTAAACAATTCATTTCCACAAGCAGAACTTATTCAAAAAGATATAAACACTCTAGTAATAATTTCACATTAAATTATTATTCTGAATAATAATTTTCTTGATGAAATATATAATGAAGATTTTCATTATTCCAGATTAATAGCAGGTTTTATTCAAAAGAGTGCCACCTTAAAAATACCAATTCCAATAAATAATCCAAATTTGGAACCATTGTAGAATATTAATTTTATTTATTTTTATTATATTATTATTTAATGTATTTATTATTTATTTGTAATTTATGTTA